GATCGAACGTAGTAAATTTATATATATGTGTGTGTGTGTGTGTGTGTGTGTGTGTGTGTGTGTGTGGTCAAGTCGAAAACTACTTCATAACACTGTTTCAGTGGTATTACCCCCTACCATTCATTGTAGTTATATTAGTTACCTACAATATCCATCGGCGAGAAGCGTAATATGTAATATATATGTAGGTTATTCGCACGACCAAGGCGGTTCTACTGCGTAACTTAAAAGATATACTGTTAATTTCCAAAATTAAATCCTATTGGGAATTTATAAATCAAACATTATTTATTATGCATAGGCCTGCAATTTAATGTCATAAAACAGACTTCAATAGTTTCGAACAATAATACACATTATTGAATGTACGCTGCATTGCGTTCGGTTCTCAGGGTGCAAGATTGTCATCGTTAGCTTTAAATATTAAGACATGAGATCATTCAAAAGCAATTTCTTTTGTAATACAAATTACATTTATGATAATAATTACTAGATAATCAAAACATAAATAACTCACAAAAATATTTCGGTTTGTTATCGAAATGAAGAGTTGAAGAATTGAATACATTCGGTAAATGTTGACGGTAAGACTTGACAGGAAATTCGACGAATAGAATTTTTTTCTATTTTTATATTAATACATTTTGAATAACGTAGTTCTTGTTTCTGCTATAAACCGTCTGTCTTGGTAGTTTTATTTTTTGTAAACAATCTACGGGTGCACGTTTTTTTCAACAAACGTTTACAATATAAAACAAGATAATCTTTAAAGTTAACATGATATTACATAGGAATTTCTTTAAACTTTTAAATTGTTTGTGTTTTGTGGTAATAATAGAAAGCTGTTGTTTATTTAAATGTTGTTTCAACCCCACTACTATGAAAATATGATTTTTACTTTACAACTTGTAATATAATTATATTCTGCGGAGTGCGGATAACTGGCAATCCGTATCTCAAGGTATTCTCTTATATTGCAATTTTACATGAAAAAGGTTCGGTTAACGATTACACTGCAGGTTGAATAGTTATATCACAATCTTATTTCCGCTCTAAGGCACGCGAACGTTTAAACACAATTTCATGAACAAATTAACAATTATCTTTTATATCACCTAATTACTGTCGTTTAATGAGTATATTGTACGCGGTGCATATGTGTATGTGCGCATGTGTGAATTTTCTTGTTTTGTATTCAGTAAATAATTATTAGATTAAAATATGTCTTATTATTTAATTTCTTGGCTTCTGTCATCCATCATTCTCAACAATTGTATCTTTATTAACTTTGCTGGGAAACTCGTATAGTTTTTCATACTATTATTATATTTGTACCAGTGCTCGACTTGAGGGGGGACGGAGTATCCCAACTAATTTTCAGAAATTTTAGCGTCCCTCTACTATTATTACGCTATAATCCTAACGCTCAGCCAGTTAGGGGACGCTTTTTTTTTTAAAGTAAATAGAGTCCCCCTTTA